AAAAGAAAGATGCCCAGGGTCCATGCTCATTTGCGTGAACGTGCCTTAGGCATGCTGCAAGGAGGCATGAGGACTGCAGATGTGGCCAGGGCAATAAATTGCAATGTCCGTACTGTGAGACGCCTAAGACAGCGCTACAGGGAGACAGGACAGACAGCTGATCGTCCTCGCAGTGGCAGACCACGTGTAACAACACCTGCACAGGATCGGTACATCCGAACATCACACCTGCGGGACAGGTACAGGATGGCAACAACAACTGCCCGAGTTACACCAGGAATGCACAATCCCTCCATCAGTGCTCAGACTGTCCGCAATAGGCTGAGAGAGGCTGGACTGAGGGCTTGTAGGCCTGTTGTAAGGCAGGTCCTTACCAGACATCACCGGCAACAATGTCGCCTATGGGCACAAACCCACCGTCGCTGGACCAGACAGGACTGGCAAAAAGTGCTCTTCACTGACGAGTCGCGGTTTTGTCTCACCAGGGGTGATGGTTGGATTCGCGTTTATCGTTGAAGGAATGAGCGTTACACCGAGGCCTGTACTCTGGAGCGGGATCGATTTGGAGGTGGAGGGTCCGTCATGGTCTGGGGCGGTGTGTCACAGCATCATCGGACTGAGCTTGTTGTCATTGTAGGCAATCTCAACGCTGTGCGTTACAGGGAAGACATCCTCCTCCCTCATGTGGTACCCTTCCTGCAGGCTCATCCTGACATGACCCTCCAGCATGACAATGCCACCAGCCATACTGCTCGTTCTGTGCGTGATTTCCTGCAAGACAGGAATGTCAGTGTTCTGCCATGGCCAGCGAAGAGCTCCCATTGAGCACGTCTGGGACCTGTTGGATCAGAGGGTGAGGGCTAGGGCCATTCCCCCCAGAAATGTCCGGGAACTTGCAGGTGCCTTGGTGGAAGAGTGGGGTAACATCTCACAGCAAGAACTGGCAAATCTGGTGCAGTCCATGAGGAGGTGCACTGCAGTACTTAATGCAGCTGGTGGCCACACCAGATACTGACTGTTACTTTTGAATTTGACCCCCCCTTTGTTCAGGGACACATTATTCCATTTCTGTTAGTCACATGTCTGTGGAACTTGTTCAGTTTATGTCTCAGTTGTTGAATACAAATATTTACACATGTTAAGTTTGCTGAAAATAAACGCAGTTGACAGTGAGAGGACGTTTCTTTTTTTGCTGAGTTTATAAAACAATTTTGCTGTGCAAAATGAATGGAGCAGAAAGCCTGTCCTGCTGACAGGTAATACAATTACGGATTTATTCCGTGGCTTACAAGCCACGAGGGTCAATTAAAACCGTGCAGAAATAGGCAAAAGTCCAGTCTTCCAGCAGGGTCAGATAAAACAATCTGCAGAGGAGAATAGTGCTAAAACTATTCTCATATTGTTGTTGTTAGTTTGTCTGTGTTTTGGACGAAGCATATTTGTGCGTTCGTGGTGGGTCGGTCCACTGTTGTGCCATGGGAAAACTGCAAAACGGACGTTGATTTTCCAAGCTAATACATTTGGTGGTTTGGTTAAATTAGTAGGATTTTGGATTCCTTCGTCTCACTCAGACAGGTGGTGTATTGGTCAGGACCTGGACCTAGCCAGTTAGCCACAGCTTAATGAGCAAACATTGCTGCCTGGATTTCCCACAGCAGCAGCTCTATGGCAGCAGGCCAGTCACGGTGTCCGCTGTAATCACACACAGTGTAAATGACACTTCTGAGCAACACAGATACATTCCCTGTGCATATCTCACATTTTAGCAGCGCTGTGGGACACTGGTTGATTGGCATTGGACAGATGCCCCAATCCCACTAATTCACCCCCAGAGAAATAGACCCTTTGTTCCCAGGCTAAAAACCTCCAACAACCTGAGAAGGGGACAAACGATCCTGTGTGTTCAGAAAGAGAGAAGTCTAAAGGACAAAACAAGGCCGTGCCGACGGACAGTCAAAAGCAGTGGTCCTATCCCCTCTGACCACATAACGTCGGCCTTCATTTTCTTTTAATTTCCGGACATGTTGAATGAACTCCTGAAGTCCTGGCAGGAACTCTGCCTCACAGCATGTTAAGGCGCTCCAATCAATGACAGCGTGACTTTCAGCACTCTGGCATCAATCAGACAGTTGGGATTTCATTACGACTCCTCTCCTCTCCTCTCCGCCACGGCCTGGCTTTCCACCTCTGTCTCTCTCTCTCACGCTCTCTCATTCTGCTCACCACTCCTCTCTCTCTATCACTCCGCTCCTCCCTCTCTTTCTCTCCCCCCCCCCCATCACTCACTATCAGTGTGTCCTACAGATGATGGCCAGACATCTGTGCTGTGACAGACTGGCGTGTGACAGGGATAGGTGAGGGGCAATCACAGGAGGATCATCAGTCCTGTAGGCTCTGGATGAATGACTGCGGGCTGTTGTCATGCTCTCCATAGGGACTGTGTCTTATAAAGCTATAGATAAGGCCACCCTATTCCCTATATAGTGCGCAACTTTTGACCAGAGCCCTATGAGCCCTGGTCAAAAGTAGTTCACTATATAGTAAATAGGGTGTCATTTGTGACGCAATCAATTATAATGGCTTCATCCAACTTCCTCGTGAGTAAAAAAGCACAACGCAACGTTCATCATACCCCCCACTGGGGGAAAGAAGTGAATCAGTTATTTTATTTCACTCCTTCAGTCTCTCTCTATCACACACATACAATCATGCAAGTGTACACACAATTTATCAACCCAATTAAGACATTCCATTTAACCCACGTAGCCAGCCACATATAACAGACCCTAGCCCTCGCAACCCAAGCCCCACTCTGATAAATAAGGACGTTAAGGTCCGTGCCCCTGGCCTCTGGTGACAGAGTAGGTTCATTTGGACCATAAATGAGCTTGTCTTTCCATGTCCTTGCTGTCAGCTCCCAGGGCATTGTAACCAACCATAAAATCAGAGGTGTGAATCCAGCTCAGTCCTCGGGGGCAATACTGCATAACAGTGACATCATCCTACAAACTAGAGCAAAGAAGGGGCCGTCAGGTCCTGGGCAGTTAGCTTTAGTGGGTGTCCGTGAGTCTGGATGTTTAGGTGTGTGTGTGTGTGTGTGTGTGTGTGTGTGTGTGTGTGGTGTGTGTGTGTGTGTGTGTGTGTGTGTGTGTGTGTGTGTGTGTGTGTGTGTGTGTGTGTGTGTGTGTGTGTGTGTGTGTGTGTGTGTGTGTGTGTGTGTGTGTGTGTGTGTGTGTGTGTGTGTGTGTGTGTGTGTGTGTGTGTGTGTGTGAGTGTGTGTGTATGTGTGCCCATGCTGTTGGAGCTACGTCGGACCAAAACAACAGGAGATGTAAAACAGTTTATGGGTTATTGGAATAATTAGGTGGTTAACTGAGAGAGGTGTTTGTGAATTTTCCACACAATGCCATGTATGCACTTCTGTATTCTTTATATGATACGGTTATAGATTTGTCAGCACGCAGTAAAGATTAATGTTCACTTAGAGCAAACAGCGTGAGAAATCCACTGTGTATGCACTGTGTAAAACACACACTAAAATTCTCTCTCGATCTCTCTCTCCCTCTCTCACACACACACGCACACACACACACACACACAACCACCCATCCACCCGATTGATCAAAGGCAAATGGATTGAAGATGATTCCATTGCTTTCCGAAGCTTTTGATAGCTAATGGAATTAGTTTATATTTATGAGAGGGGCTCTGCTGACAGAACAGACAGGGCTCAGGAGCTTTGGGGAAAGCATGTGGTCTGACAGTAACACATCTATAAATCACTATTGGAGGAGGAGTGGATCTCCAACTAGAGTGCGATCTCATCTCACCATTCTCAGATCAAAGGACTCTTGTTGGCTAAACCAAAGCTGGCAACAGCTAGAAACACTCAGGTAGAAACACTCAGGATGCATCCCCAATGGCACCCTATTCCCTATTCCCTATGTAGTGCACTACTAAAAGCAGTTCACTGCATAGGAAATAGGGTGCCATTTGGGACGGAAGCTCAGGAAACACTCCCTACATGCTAACACAATGCATCCTGCCAGGCTTTCAATCTCCCATCACCATGGCATATAAGTGGAGCACAGCAGTTCCCTGCTAAAAGCACATATCCAGGGGGTTGCATTTTAAAGAAGTGCGGGGGGGGGGGGGGGGGGGGGGAACGACTTGAGGAAACAGGGCCAAGGTCAAGAGCAGAGAGAGGTGGAGAGGGAGGGAGAGAGATGGAAGGAGGAAGACAGAGAGGGAGAGGGAGTGAGAGAGATAGAGAGGGAGAGAGAGAAGGAAAGAGAGAGGTGAGGAGCGGAAGAGAGAGAGAGAGGCAGAGGAAAGCGAGGAAGAGGAGAGGGTCTATATGACAGCTGTGTGGACATGGCGAGCAGAGCCATAACAGCCTGTTTCGTGAGGAATGCGGAACGGATCAGCCAGACACCCCTCTGTCCTCTGCTCTCTGCTCCGACATGGCGCACCCAAGTCACAACACTAAACAGCTGCCCCCGGTATCCACTTCCCTTCCTCCTGAAGAAACGGCACTAATAACCTTACCTCCCAATAACAAGGCTCCTCCATCTCTCTTTTTCTCTCTCTATGTCGCTCTTTCTTTCTCTATCCCTCAACCCCCCCACCCTCTCTCTCTCACTCATTCTCATCTGCTGAATTGGCACGTCAAAGACTGGTCCACCCCCCCACTTTCTCCTCTCCATCTTTCTCTCACTTCAGCTGGGAAATGAAAGGACACAGTTGTGTGTCAGTCATAGACTAACACCCTTCTTTCCAGGTCAAGATATGTTACCAAGGAGATAATGCAGAAACAAAGTCAAGATGAACCCATCTGCAATTAAACTCTGAGTCACATTTGAAGGAGGATTCCATGAGCAAGAATCAAGGAGCCCTTCCTCTGATGACCCGATACCAACTCAAACCAGTATACAAGTCCAGATAACTCAAACCAGAAGACAAGTCCAGATAACTCAAACCAGAAGACAAGTCCAGATAACTCAAACCAGTGTACAAGTCCAGATAATGTCCTTCTCCACATCATGAAGCACCCGGAGCAAAGTGTTCTTACCTGCGACAGAGTTGGGCCGCGGCATCATGAGGGACGAGGAGGTGTGTGCTGTGGGGTATGGAACGGGGCCCTCTGGTGGGTGGCTTGGTCCTGCTGCTGCTCCTCCGGCGGCCCCTGCTGGGGAGCCTGTGGGGTACTCTGTCCTGGATGGGGCGGTGGTCTCTGGGGGTCCGCTGGGGTCTTCCTCGGCCACGGGAGAGCACGTATCGACCCGCACGCTGGGAGCCAGGCCATGGTGCCCGCTGCTCCTCAGGCTGCCATCTTTACTCCATTCCAGGCTGGAGCCGCTGCGGTCATCATTCTCTGAGGAGCTGGTGATGGTGGCTGAGCGAGAGAGAAAGGGAGGAGGAGGGGGAAGTAAAGATGAGGGAGAGAGCGAGAAAGAGAGAGAGGATGAGGAGGATGAGAGAGAGAGAGAGAGATGAGAGAGAGAGAGGAGGATCAATGAAAGAGAGAGGCTTAGGATGCGAGGTATGAGATGGAGAGAGAGAGAGAGGAGGATGATCGACGTCTTTAGCGATCGGATCGGATTGATCTCTAACGTGTCTCGCGTCGGGAGTGTGAGAGGGATGCTCTCTCGTAGCAGTCTCAGCGGTCTATTTCTATCTTCTCGCTCGCTGGCTGCGTCTGCGAGGCTGGCCAGGGCCTCTTCTCTGGGCTCTCTTACTTCTTTCTCGTCTTCTTGCGCTCTCGCGTCGGGGCGAGGAGCTGTAGCTTCGCTTCTGTCATTCATCTGCAAGGCCTCGCTCTTCTCTCAGAGCGCTCGTCTCTCATGCTCGAGGGCGATAGACGTTAGGCAGCCGAGAGAGAGAGAGGAGTAGAAAATTGTAGCAGAACGTCATTATCATTATCCAGATTTCTCTACACCTTGTTGCAGAGTGAAACGACATTGGGCTATAATGGAGAAGTTATGAGTCTTTAGCGCTCCCACTCTTTTTCATTGACCTTATCAACATCCTCCACCTGATCTGATATTTACCGCTACATTTAGCTCCAACTAATGAGAGCTATCCAGCGAAGGCAAGGGTGGGTAGATTTATGGCATTAATTTCCTCAATCCAGCTTCTCCCTAGCAAGTCTTTTTCAGCTTGGTTTTAACCACCATTATTTCCCTCCTTATCAAAGGTCTGCTGAATGGAGTATCTTAGAAAACTGCTTTAATAATAATAGTGTACATAAAGTATGTTTGCCTCCAAACAGTATCATCCGTCCAACATAACATTGTCAAGCTGAGGTTGATACTGTAGCTACGGCTCAGTCTCAAAATGCATTATTTTCCCTATATAGTGCACTACTTTTGACCAAGGCCCATAGGTAGTGCACTATATAGGGAGTATGGTGCCATTTGGGACAAACCTTACATATACAGGTCAGATCCTCTTATATGAAGAGACCACAAGAACACAATATTTAGGAGGGAGTAAAAGGGGGCTGGTGTGGAGAAAAGCTGACTTGCATTTTAGAGTTTAGACAGGTGTTTGCTTACATGAAAGCAAATCCCCTTTAATCCTCTCCTCAGGCCTGGCTGGTCATGCTAAATACAATCACTAAAAGCTGAGGGGAAAATCAAAAGCCACCGACTGGCAGCTGGGCTCCAAAACAGGGGGATGCGTCCCAAATGGCACTGTATTCCCTATATAGTGCACTACTTTTGACGGTCAAAAGTATTGCACTATAAAAGGAATAGGGAGTCATTTGGGACGCACACATGGGTACAGTCAGAGAAATGGGACTGGGTCTGTTTTCGGGAGCATTAGAGTAGACCTACTGTACAACACAGCTAATCTGGATTTCATAACGGTGCTGTGTGTTGCATCATCGCTAATATTAACATAACAAATACATCTGGGATAACTCACCTGATGCTTGCTTGTGCAAATATTAGGCAATTCAGAAATCACCCAATTTTGTAACATTTGATACTCGCTCATAAGCATAATTTAATGAATCACAAAGATGGACCAAAGTGGTCTGAATGAACAGGTAAAATAGCCTGCTATCTTACACTAGGTGCTTATTTGTATCCTTGCTCCTCTGCTTTATAACATCAGTAGATGGTTATGACCATTATTTACAACATGAATAACTGCTTATGACCATTATTTACGACATGAATAACTTATTATGACTATTAATAACAACATGAATAGGCTAACTGGTTATGACCATTAATTACAACATGAACAACTGCTTATGACCATTATTTACTACATGAATAACTGCTTACGACCATTATTTACAACATGAATAACTGCTTATGACCATTGAAAGTACTACACAGAATTTCTCCACTATGTGGAAGCTAGGTGAATCTCCCCACTCCCCTGCATCCCATTTCCTTGTTACATGGCGGAGACTCACGCTTGAGCCTTTTACTTTCGGTTTTGGTCTACCAGCTTCAAACAGCTGTAAAAATTATATTTTTTGTTATTGAAAATATATTTTACAGCGATTTAGATGGTACAATGATTCCCTACACTATTCAGGGCTTGTTTTCTCACATAAACTGAAATTGAGCAAACTGACTGAGCGATTTCTATATTGGCCGTTTACCCCGGTTTCCACTAGATAACACAGCAACAAAGTCAAAACACCCATTTTGACAACAGAAGCCGGCCCGGCTGGAGATATCAAAAGGTGAATATCACAGCCAATCACAACACTGGTGGTTAAGTAATACTGTGAAACACTATTATTCCACTATTAGCGGCAGATATATTATGGATTTTTTTTCTTAAATTTAAATAAAATATAAACATAAGATGCGTAGCACCTTTAATTACAACATTAATAACTGCTTATGACTATTATTTACACCATGAATAACTGATTGTGACCATTCCTATGACCCTCTTTAGCCTCCTCTTTCGGATGCCCTCCCTTCCCTGGGTCCCACACCACAACAGCAGCTGAGGGTTTTCATATGTCAACACACATCATCCCACCCAACGTGCTGTTTAAAAAATCAGTCAGAATAATATGGGCTTTTGAAGTAAATGATTCCCTGACTTCTCTTATCCTGCTTCTTCCACAGTCCATTTCAACCACTTCAAAGGCCCTGAATAGTATTCATCAGAGCTATGAATCAGTCTCATGGCACGCTATTCCCTGCATAGTGCACTACTTTTGACCAGAGCCCTATGGAATAGGGTGCCATTTGGAACGTAGCCTACTTGGCTTCTCTCTCTGCCTTTTAAATAACCCAAGAAGCCCTACTCACTGGGGACAATGTTCCGGACCAATGTTATAGCTTGTCCTTCACTCCCAAACAGAATTCTATGCGTTTGAAGGAGAAACCTTTAGGCCGCTACTCAGCTAAAGGCATAGAGGCCTATGTATCAAGCGTCTCAGACTAGGAGTGCTGATTTAGGATCAGTTTTGCCTTTTCGATCACAATGAATAAAATTACATGGACAGAGAGGACCTGATCCTAGACCAACACTCCTACTCTGAGATCTTTGATGCATACGGCCCTATCTCTCTGTCTCAACCTGGACTGTACTGTAGGTAGGTAGGCAGTAGCTAGGCACGGCACAACGCTATTCACGCTGCTTCACTATGGCAGATACAATATCACAGCCAGAATGAATTATTTAGCAGCTATGATATTGCACTGGGGGCTAGGGGGAAAATAAGTCACAGTAATCAATTATATCAACAGCAGCACAGGATTTGCATTCGGGAGATGTATCACTGCCAACAAACCAAGTCTGGCTTGGCCACAAAAAGGGCCATGACCTCGACAACAGGTTACCATTTGTCATTTAGATCAGCAGAGGCTATTGTAACAGGTGGTCTTCTATCTTCATTTTATTTTCATATAGGCCTAATCTGTCTACCTGGGTGACCATACAATAGGGGATAGAATCTCAATGTCCTAGTTAGATGCCTCGGAAAGAAAGAGAAGGTTAACTGCTTTTGTCCTAGTTTGGTCCAAATCAACTGGAGCCTTGAGAAATGAATGTCACTAACCAGAGAAAAAAAGACAGTGAAAAACGAACGTTTCATGACAAACGGCTCTGTAGGCCCTATGTCAGAATTCCGAATGGATTTCTAGTAGGTTTCACTGTCCCTGAGACCTTTAAGCAGAAACCACAGAGGAAATGAATACAGTAATAACTAATCTTCCTGTCAACCTGTGTAAATCCCCAAATCTCCTAAAGCCCCTGCTACTAGACGAATAGACAAGTCACATGCTGTTGAAACTGTCACCACCACTACTCTCTAACACACCACTAACAGCTCAATACAGAAGTGATGAAACCGACACTGACAAAGTAGAGGAACAACATTGACACTTACACTTTTCATTCAGAGCATCCATAAAAGGGTAAAACACTCAAAGATGTTGGATTAGATGAAGGTTATAAGTATATATAGTCTGTGTTATTAATGCTAGATTGGAATGATCAGGGTAAAGCAGAGTTATTCTGTTGAGACTGTTGATGATGCTAGTGTCATGGGACACAAGAGGCATGAAGGACATTCTAGGTCCATTCCTATGCGCATTGTGCATAATGTAAATAGTACTGAGGAAAAGCTGGGGACTGAATGACTGATTGATTGAGTGGGTGGGTGAGATTGTGTCCCAAATGGCACCCTAATCTCTATAGTGTACTACTTTTGACCAGAGTGGCCCCTACATAGAGGAGGGAGGGGGGGACTGACTGACAAGCAACCCTAGTTGCAAGGGCGGGTGGGTGGGAAGGGGTGGAAAAAACTCGCAACCCGAGTGTCTCTCACCTATGATCCCGCTGTCCTTGCTCTCGAGCGTGGAGCTGGGGCTGGTGATGGTCCCACAGGGGCTGGAGTGACTCAGAGGAGGTCTGCCGTGACCACTGCTGCTGTGGCTGAGGCTGTTGAGGGTGGAGCACGGGCTCTCTGTGCAGGGGGACGCCGTGCTACTGGTCAGACTGGAGCAGGGACTGATACCCTGACTAGTCACTGAGCACTGGAGGAGGAGGAGGAGGAGGAGAAACACATCTTTTATTTTATTTTATTGATCCCACATGGCAGTCAAATATACACTTAGTATACAAAACATTAAGAACACCGGCTCTTTCCATGACATATACTGACCAGGTGAATCCAGGTGAAAGCTATGATCCCTTATTGATGTCACTTGTTAAATCCACTTCAATCAGTGTAGATGAAGGGGAGGAGACAGGTTAAAGAAGGATTTTTAAGCCTTGAGACAATTGAGATGGATTGTGTATGTGTGCCGTTCAGAGGGTTAATGGGCAAGACAAAATATTTAAGTGCCTTTGAACGGGGTATGGTAGTAGGTGCCAGGCGTACCGGTTGGGGTCTAGTTCCGCAACGCTGCTGGATTTTTCACACTCAACAGTTTCCCTGTGTGTATCAAGAATGGTCCACCACCCAAAGGACATCCAGCCAACTTGACATAACTGTGGGAAGCATTGGAGTCAACATGGGCCAGCATCCCTGTGGAACGCTTGTAGAGACACCTTGAGTCCATGCCCTGACGAAATTAAGCCTGTTCTGAGGGCAAAAGGGGGGGTGTTCCTAATGTTTGGTATACTCAGAGTATTCCTGAAATGCATTGTTAATAAAAACACATAGGTCTATGAAGTTGTTGTCGTCGTCATCATCATCATCATCATCATCATATAGTAAAACATGATAAGAGAAGAAAAGAGAGAGCAGTGAGAGGACGGTTGAGCTAAGTAAATAATACTACAGCAATCAGTATGAATGGAATCTCATAGCTACAAAGTTTAACAATAAAAACATGTTCATATTTTTCATTTGGGAATAAAGAGCTTTTCTCCTTATATGGGAGCAGACCGGAAAATATGAGCCAAGTCGATTTCTTTTTACCAAAGCAAATAACCCGAATCATGTGCAAGCAATGGAAATTCCTGGACAAATAAATAAGCGGTTCACATGTGAGCATGACACACAAGGTGAGGGCATGAGCTTGCTCGGTAAACAAAGCGAGGCTTTCAAAACAGCAAACTCAGGTCTAAAACGAGACCAGAACTCGTATCTCAGAGTAGGAGTGCTGATCAAGGATCAGGTCCCTCCTGTCCAAAATAATCTGATTCATTATGATCTAAAAGGCTAAACTGATCCTACATCAGCACTTTCAGACAAGACTTGAGCCATGAACAACTGAATGCCAACTTGCAACCAGAAGAGCTCAGCCCATGATTGATCACCATGCTCTTCCTGGTACTCAAGTGCTAATGCCATAACTCCAAACTCTAGGTTTGTCCCCTATATTCTCCTCTCGGCTGCTTTTCTCTCTCTCCACCATCTAGTATGTACACTACCGTTCAAAAGTTTGGGGTCACTTAGAAATGTCCTTGTATTCTAAAGAAAAAAAAAGTATATTAAAATAACATAAAATTGATCAGAAATACAGTGTAGACATTGTTAATGTTGTAAATGGCTATTGTAGCTGGAAACGGCTGATTTTTTATGGAATATCTACATAGCAAGTTGCAAAAAAAAAGCCATATCTCAGACTGCCCATCTTAATATTTTCTTTTTATTGGCCAGTCTGAGATATGGCTTTTTCTTTGCAACTCTGCCTAGAAGGTCAGCATCCCGGAGTCGCCTCTTCACTGTTGACGTTGAGACTGGTGTTTTGTGGGTACTATTTAATGAAGCTGCCAGTTGAGGACCTGTGAGGCGTCTGTTTCTCAAACTAGACACTCTAATGTATTTGTCCTCTTGCTCAGTTGTGCACCGGGGCCTCCCACTCCTCTTTCTATTCTGGTTTGAGCCAGTTTGCGCTGTTCTGTGAAGGGAGATCTTCAGTTTCTTGGCAATTTCTCGCATGGAATAGCCTTTATTTCTCAGAACAAGAATAGACTGACGAGTTTCAGGAGAAAGTTATTTGTTTCTGGCCATTTTGAGCCTGTAATCGAACCCACAATTGCTGATGCTCCAGATACTCAACTAGTCTCAAGAAGGCCAGTTTTATTGCTTCTTTAATCAGCACAACAGTTTTCAGCTGTGCTAACATAATTGCAAAAGGGTTTTCTAATGATCAATTAGCCTTTTAAAATGATAAACTTGGATTAGCAAACACAACGTGCCATTGGAACACAGGACTGATGGTTGCTGATAATGGGCCTCTGTACGCCTATGTAGATATTCCATAAAAAATCAGCCATTTCCAGCTATAATAGCCATTTACAACATTAACAATGTCTACACTGTATTTCTGATCAATCTGATGTTATTTTAATGGACAAAAAAATTGCTTTTCTTTCGAAAACAAGGACATTTCTAAGTGACCCCAAACTTTTGAACGGTAGTGTATATAAGTCAGGCTGGGGTTAGCGTTAGCGGCTAGCGGTGTGCTACATACAGTGGCTTGCGAAAGTATTCACCCCCCTTGGCATTTTTCCTATTTTGTTGCCTTATAACCTGGAATTAAACAGGATTTTTGGGGGGGTTGTATCATTTGATTTACATTTACACAACATGCCTACCACTTTGAAGATGCAAAATATTTTTTATTGTGAAACAAACAAGAAATTAGACAAAAAAACAGAAAACTTGAGCGTGCATAACTATTCACCCCACCAAAGTCAATACTTTGTAGAGCCACCTTTTGCAGCAATTACAGCTGCAAGTCTCTTAGGGTATGTCTCTGTAAGCTTGGCACATCTAGCCACTGGGATTTTTTGCCCATTCTTCAAGGCAAAACTGCTCCAGCTCCTTCAAGTTGGATGGGTTCCGCTGGTGTACAGCAATCTTTAAGTCATACCACAGATTCTCAATTGGATTGAGGTCTGGGCTTTGACTAGGCCATTCCAAGACATTTAAATGTTTCCCCTTAAACCACTCAAGTGTTGCTTTAGCAGTATGATTAGGGTTATTGTCCTGCTGGAAGGTGAACCTCCATCCCAGTCAAATCTCTGGAAGACTGAAACAGGTTTCCCTCAAGAATTTCCCTGTATTTAGCGCCATCCATCATTCCTTCCATTCTGACCAGTTTCCCAGTCCCTGCCGATGAAAAACATCCCCACTGCATGATGCTGCCACCACCATGCTTCACTGTGGGGATGGTGTCCTCGGGGTGATGAGAGGTGTTGGGTTTGCGCCAGACATAGCGTTTTCCTTGATGGCCAAAAAGCTCAATTTTAGTCTCATCTGACCAGAGTACCTTCTTCCATATGTTTGGGGAGTCTCCCACATGCCTTTTGGCAAACACCAAATGTGTTTGCTTATTTTTTTCTTTAAGCAATGGCCTTTTTCTGGCCACTCTTCTGTAAAGCCCAGCTCTGTGGAGTGTATGGCTTAAAGTGGTTCTATGGACAGATACTCCAATCGCCGCTGTGGAGCTTTGCAGCTCCTTCAGGGTTATCTTTGGTCTCTTTGTTGCCTCTCTGATTAATGCCCTCCTTGGCTGGTCTGTGAGTTTTGGTGGGCGGCCCTCTCTTGGCAGGTTTGTTGTGGTGCCATATTCTTTCCGTTTTTTAATAATGGATTTAATGGTGCTCCGTGGGATGTTCAAAGTTTCTGATATTTTTTTATAACCCAACCCTGATCTGTACTTCTCCACAAATGTGTCCCTGACCTGTTTGGAGAGTTCCTTGGTCTTCATGGTGCCGCTTGCTTGGTGGTGCCCCTTGCTTAGTGGTGTTGCAGACTCTGGGGCCTTTCAGAACAGGTGTATATATACTGAGATCATGTGACAGATCATGTGACACTTAGATTGCACACAGGTGGACTTTATTTAACTAATTATGTGACTTCTGAAGGTAATTGGTTGCACCAGATCTTATTTAGGGGCTTCATAGCAAAGGGGGTGAATACGCACCACTTTTCCGTTATTTATTTTGTAGAATTTTTTTTTAGAAGTTATTTTCTTCATTTCACTTCACCAATTTGGACTATTTTGTGTATGTCCATTACATGACATCCAAATAAAAATCCATTTAAATGACAGGTTGTAATACAACAAAATAGGAAAAACGCCAAGGGGGATGAATACTTTTGCAAGGCACTGTACCTCCTCCCAGGCGAGATCCCCAGTCTACGTCCCAAATGGCAACCTATTCCCTTTTTAGTGCACTACTTTTGGGCTATGGGCCCTGGTCAAAGGTAGGGAACTATATAGGGAATAGGGTGCCATTTGGGACAAAGTCCCGCAGCCTGCCAACAGTTCCTCACCAAAGGACTAACTCTTCCTCATCGTTTCCCATCTACATCACAACGTAGCACTCTGGAGAACAACGCTAGTTAAATTCTGATCATAGCCATATTCATAAGGGCACACAACAGAAAAAACTTGCAACGGGGAAAAAAAATGAGCGTCTCTTATTGGACAAGTCCGGGTATTCCTCCCTGTTTCAGTCTGTTTTCTTCCGTTTGTTGCCTAATGAATACGACCCATGTAATGTGGAGAAAAGGCAACCTACACCACCCAACATACCACGCTGATAACATAATAGCTTAATGGCATTTACTCTAGGGCAGAATTAAACAGATGATGCGTTTAAACTCAGATAGTAAAACAGCTGTGTAGAAGTCAATGGGAGAGAGAATAGTTAACAGACGATCAATGCCTCCAAGTGTTTCTCTCTGAAGCACAGAGAAGAACATCCTTCAAGGCTGCTGCTGGACAAAAAACATCCCAAACCCATTGTTGCCCTAATTTCTTGGGTTTCTCACCTTCACATCTCGACGAATGAAGATGGTTCATGGAATATAAGCTTAAAGTGACTTAAATGACTGATTCTGGCCCAAAATGTGCTAAAGAAGCATCATGCGTGTAGATGGAAATCAAAGGAGTGCTCTGCTCTTACGCTGAGCCCCAGACTAATTAGCAGAGCCAAACAAACTGAGCCGAAGACTTGACATAACTCTATTTCTGGACGTAAGCTCATACACTCGTGTTACATACTCAAGCGCCCCTGCAAGAGCCACTCAAGTTTCCCTAAGACCATCACACTGGATACCTCAGGCTCATACCAAAACACTATAGTAGTTTACTTTACCAAACATTCACTTTGTGCACACAAAACATATCTGAGAACATGTTGAGTTCAGAGTTACCCTTATTTGCTGCAATTAGAATCATTCCCGCCGTAGTAGTGTGACTTTAATCCAAGTCCAAAGAACCAGGGCAAAGACAAGCGCAAGCTGCACCAAAAAAGCATCCTTTCTTCTTTCCCTTCTTTTCACACACTCTCCCCTCCCCTCCCTCCTTCTATCTCTCTATCTCTGGTGTTGTGCGGCCGCTGAAGCAGCTGCCGGGAGGATATGAAATACCTTCTTTTCATTCTTGTCTTCCATAGGTATGCGAGCCGTGCCCGGGATCCCTTCTCCCAGTAAGAAGCCCAGCCTTGTCATCAGCTCCTGAGTGGCAGGGGAGGAGGAGGAGCTTGGCTCTTTTTCAGCTTGCAGCTCCGCTGTGTGAGAGATGAGAAATGAATCATGTTAATATTCAAATGCAGGCCAACCCAGGGCGAGTGACTGGCTGAGCCCCTGCTGCTGCCGTGCTCTACGCATGCACATACAACCACACCCACACACACCCACAGACACACTCACACACACACACACACACACACACACACACACACACACACACACACAGACACAGCTGCTGGGGTCGCGCAGGCAGGCAGAGATGCACACACACACTGACACAGAGGTGGATACAGCCAGCGGAGTACAGCTCAGTGCACTACAGAGGCAGTACTCTGCGAGGTCTGCAGGCTGCGCAGGTTCAGCCTGCCTCATTAGGAATGCTGTGACTGTGCCTGTCTCTCTGCAACACGTCCAGGGTGCCATTCTGCTTGGTGCTGCTGCTCATTGTTTACAGCCCTCACTCACATAGCCTCCGAATATCAATGAAGAACCAAATAGAAAAGGCTTCCGCTTCTAAGTTCTGTAGTTGTCTCAACCCCTTGCTACTGCTTGTGTTGGGTGGATAACATTTTATATTTCTGGGGCCAAATTTCAAATTGACAAGCGTTGGATGCTACTGTCCTATATCCTCTTACATGTACAGATATAGGATCTTAATTCGACCAGTTTCTCACAGCAGGAAAATAATCCTGCAGCAACAGGAAATGTGAGTTATTGTGTGGATTATAATTAATTGACATTTTTATAAGGGTTTGATACATTTTCAGTTAGGGCAAATCAAGTCTGACATTTGAAAGTGAAAATTACAAACTTTAGAAACCTTTTTAAACCTTGAATAATTTTGCATTTCCTGCTGTGCTGGTTGATCAAATTAAGATCCTACACCTGTAGCCTACCATGTGTACTTGTGATGTTTCAAATAATGCACATATTGCTTTTCATTGTCAATAAAACATGAGCTGAAAAAGCACTGACTTACAAGTACACTGCAAACTGATACATCCTTCGGGATCTATAAAATCTGTTTAAACTTTGGCCTGATTCCGTTTAGTTTTACCCCAAATTGCACTCCCTTTTGTTTTTCCAGGTTTAATTTTTTTCCCATTTTTTTCAGGTTTTTTGCTCTCAAAATCACACTTTTTTAATAGAAAAACAACCAAACTGGACGTTCTAAGTCAACAACAACGCTTAAACCACATCAGGAAACCACATTAACACGCATGCACACACAAACACACACACACACACACACACAGACAGACGGGCATTCCTGTGCCGTTTCAGAATGTTGCAGGAAAATATGAATCACTGATGCATTTTGTTAATGTCTTATGATTAACTTGTGCAAATTAATGCCTTTTCTAATAAGTTCAATACATTAAGTTGATTTCCTACAAAGTTCAATAACTTTTTTAATATAGGTGAATTCCGCTTTAATGTCTAGATTACCTGAATCTGTCTGCGTTCTCCGCAATGCAGATTTTATATGGCCCTATGTCACGACTTCCTCCGAAGCTGCCTCCCCTCCTTGTTCGGGCAGGCTTCGGCGTTCGTCGTCACCGGCCTTCTAGCCACTGCCGCTCCATATCTCATCATTCCATTTGTCTTGTCTTGTCAATTACACACACCTGGTTCATATTCCCCTCATTAGTATGTGTTAAGTGTTCCCTCTGCCCCCTTGTCCTTGTGGGTGATTGTTCGTTGTGAGGATTAGTAGCTCGGTTGAGCTCAGTATTTTGTATTGCCGGGGTATTTTCCCCATGTGCATGTTTGTTCCAGTGCGCCTGTTTTGCGCACTGGACTGGTTACGCTGGATTACGGAATAAACTCTGTATACTGTGATTTACCCTCCTGCGCCTGACTCCTTCAAATCACGCATCACACCCTACTTCCTCAACTGGGGGATGCTGCTGGTATTCTGTATGTACATTACCCCAGCATCAAAATGTAAATGAGGAGCCAGGGGAATATGGCTCCATATATGAGGGGCTATCCCCCTAAGGGCAGTGTGAGGCCTAGACTACAGTAAGTTATTATCCTGCATTCTGTCAGCACCTCTCCTCCCCCCTCTCTCTCTTCCAAAGTTATTAATAATGCTGGCAGTCCATCTGATTAAATACAAACCCATCCAGCCACATAACGTACTGCCAAGATGTAATGAAGTCAAAACTAATGCCACCATACACAAATACATGAACGAACACACAAAGGCACACAAACACACACACAATATTATTTACTACTGTGGTGGCAGCAGAAGCAATTACAGTCTAACCATTTTATTAATATATGAAATTTGGTAACGGATGCAATCTATGCTGATTTGATTTAATGCTAAACTCAAAACCAGAGGCAACTTCTGACCCCCAGCAGAAACCACTCTGTCACCATGAACATGCTTATTTCTCTAATTCCAAGACATTCCCTTGCAAAGGTTGTATTACCATCATACTGTGGGCAGAAATGCTACACCATATTGGTTGAGAGGGAGGATGTTCTAATCATAGAAATAGAATGATCATTCTAGTTCTATGGTTCCAACCTGGTTGAGAAATAAATGTGGTGAAATGGAGAGAGGGAGAGGGGGACAGAGTCAAGAGAGGGGGAGGGAAGGAGAGAAATTATGGAATATCTCATTACTCATTATTAACCAAGGAGACCCCCTCCATCAACGCACTCACGCTCCCTCTCTCCTCCTCCTCCACCCCCTCTCCCCTCTTTTGCCCTCACTTTATATAATTTTCATTTCACTCCTTTCACACAAACACTGCTTGGCTGACTTCTCTGTTCTCCAAAGTCTGCAATATATTTGCATACTAAGGAGTGAACCTGTAGCACATGGGGATGTGTGAAACTTACTCCTCAGCCTGAAGTGTCCCTACTTACGCCAGCGAACAGTTATCTTTTCACGTGGCGCTGACTGGTAAGACGCTTCAGGAGGGCAGTCACGTATGCTAGCAAGGCAGAGGTCCCAAGTACACGCCAGGTATGTGCCGAATCGGGAGGAAGTGGTACTCACTAAGCAAGCAGCGTGACGTCCTTTACACACCATCCCCACACCCCTTTAGTAGGCTAGCCTACACTTTGGTCATGTTACTGCCGGGCAAGGAGAGATGTAAGTGTAAGGATATGTCCCAAATGGTACTCTATTCCCTATATAGTGCACTACTTTTGACCAGGGCCCATATGACTGGTTCCTGGTTCATACTATACTGTAATGAAGCTCTGTTCTGTTCAGTGTGCAGCAGTACCAGCCAGACAGCTACAGAGCACTAGTCAGCCAGGAGACATCTGTTACATCTGCAATGTCTGCACAGGCTGTTAACAGGTGCCCTTTCATTGCCCCAGCAGCCTACATTAAACATTTAATGCAGTGCACAATGTTCTGTTATAAATAATGGGCCTGTGAATCACTGACTCTCATTTGTTTTCCTATGAATACTTCTGTCTATAAGCCGCTGCATTGACATTAATATAATTCACCCCAACTCAACAGCTGGAATGTTTTTATATTATGATTTGAATGTAACATTTGCAGGGTTTTTTCTGCATAGAAAAGTATTGGGCAGGCCACCTAAGTGTTTTTTCATGCCGCCTATGTCCAAACAGTAAAACAAATATATATATATATAAAAAAGGTGTCTCCGCCAATTGGCAAAATGTGTAGAATTGCAGGAAATTTGTTTTAAACAGCTACATTTTGTCACTGCGGCCAACAGAAGGGCCTCTAAAACATTGGCTACGCCCATTGCCACGCCCCCCCGCCACACCCACCACCTAAGCCCCATTTTGATCCAGAAAAAAAAAGGATTTTCAAACTGTTTGCAGATAGGAATGGGTAAGAGCAGGGCATAAAATTAACTTTTTGGTTCACCAGCCACTGTGGCAGGTAGATTAAAAAATATACCAGCCACCCAGATTTTTTACCAGCCAAATTAAAAACATTTGCCAACAAAACACAAACAAACGGATGAGCATGCTTTGTAATGTTTCTAAAACAAATGTATTACTAGTAAGAAGTAACTAATGTGTACAGTGGGGAGAAAAAGTATTTAGTCAGCCACCAATTGTGCAAGTTCTCCCACTTAAAAAGATGAGAGAGGCCTGTAATTCTCATCATAGGTACAAAATCCAGAAAATCACATTGTAGGATTTTTAATGAATTTATTTGCAAATTATGGTGGAAAATAAGTATTTGGTCAATAACAAAAGTTTCTCAATACTTTGTTATATACCCTTTGTTGGCAATGACACAGGTCAAACGTTTTCTGTAAGTCTTCACAAGGTTTTCACACACTGTTGCTGGTATTTTGGCCCATTCCTCCATGCAGATCTCCTCTAGAGCAGTGATGTTTTGGGGCTGTCGCTGGGCAACACGGACTTTCAACTCCCTCCAAAGATTCTCTATGGGGTTGAGATCTGGAGACTGGCTAGGCCACTCCAGGACCTTGAAATGCTTCTTACGAAGCGACTCCTTCGTTGCCCGGGCGGTGTGTTTGGGATCATTGTCATGCTGAAAGACCCAGCCACGTTTCATCTTCAATGCCCTTGCTGATGGAAGGAGGTTTTCACTCAAAATCTCACGATACATGGCCCCATTCATTCTTTCCTTTACACGGATCAGTCGTCCTGGTCCCTTTGCGTTTGGAGTGTGACTGTTTGAGGTTGTGGACAGGTGTCTTTTATACTGATAACAAGTTCAAACAGGTGCCATTAATACAGGTAACGAGTGGAGGACAAAGGAGCCTCTTAAAGAAGAAGTTACAGGTCTGTGAGAGCCAGAAATCTTGCTTGTTTGTAGGTGACCAAATACTTATTTTCCACCATAATCTGCAAATAAATTCATTAAAAATCCTACAATGTGATTTTCTGGATTTCTTTTTCTCAATTTGTCTGTCATAGATGACGTGTACCTATGATGAAAATTACAGGCCTCTCTCATCTTTTTAAGTGGGAGAACTTGCACAATTGGTGGCTGACTAAATACTTTTTCCCCCCACTGTATATTGTTATATATTGTTTAATAAAACATTTTGTGACCTGAGCCTTTTTGTGACCTGAGTTTTCACCTGCCCCTTTAAGGGCGGGAGGTTACCGTGGTAGTGCGACTCAGGTCATGTTTGTGCCTGTGAGATTGAGTCTGACTAGTAAAAGCGTTGTCTTCTCTTCCCTAGCAGTTGAAAGTCAAACAGAAAAACAACCTAGCTTGTGAACAAAACAATGTAAATAGCCAAGAAACACAAGGACAAAGTCTCACTTCAGTAGACTTTAATTTTAAGTAAATTAGACCAGCTTTTATGACCGTGTGCAGCGCTTCTAAAAATGAATCTTTCACTCAGCTCTTCACATGCGCACAGCCCCCAGCCAGGCAGTGTTGCAGCGTGAGCTGGAATAGGCTATATAGGATTCGTAGTTCTTTGACTTTGTGAGATTAATTTACCAGCT